GTATATATATACAGTAGATAGATACAGTATATATATACAGTAGATAGATACAGTATATGACAAGTAAGTAAATTATATCTCCTTTGGGGTTTTCCCCAGGTCTGCTCTATTTGCCAATGTTGCAAATCTGCAACATCCCAAAATATATTACCTGTGAAGGTCTCTCTTCCTGTCATTCACATTTAATTGGCCCCAGAGAGGGTTAAAATGTGAAACCAATTCATGATATAGGCTTCTGACTAGATGCCAAGCCTTTGTTTGTTCATATGGTGCTGGTTATGACTTACAGATGTTATTTTTTTATTTTCACAAGCTGTGAACCATAATTATCAACATTATAACAAATAAAGGCTTTATATATGTCACTTAGTTTATAATCTTATTCGTTTCTTATTGTAAGTAGAATTACAGAAGCACATTGACTTATAAACTATAATCTAATTTTCTGAGTTTCATGTGTACATAACCAAAACAACGTTTAAGTTTAATGAGTTGTATTTCTAGTATTTTTCCCCCCATTGTCTTTGCAATGCTTAAAAGTAATCACACTTTTTCTTGTTCGTATTCAGAACATCTCTTGCTTATATTTCATTCTAAATTGCACAGCGGTTCCCCTCATCCTCATTGGTCTTGTTAAACTTCAGTTTCAGTGTTGACCTTATCCTGCGTGGTTCTGAATGCAATACTAAAGCAGCTTTATGCATCTCAAGTAGAGCAAGAAGGTTATTCATTTCTTTTAAAAATGGCTCAGTTGTCACGTTATGTAGCAACATCCAATTTAATTCAATTTATTTTTGTACAGCCGTAAATCACAACAGCAGTCGTCTCAGAGGACTTTACAAAGTTGTGAATTTGCCAACAAAAAGTAAGAGAATCAAAGAGTTCAAACACAAGAAATGCAGTCATAACAGACCCATTGAAGCCAAAGGTCTATAGCAAGGGTGTCAAACTCATATGAAACTCAAAAAACAAAAAGGAACTTGTTGGGGTCTGAAATTGTAGAATTTGATAATATATATATATATTTATGAAGGTATTTTGACATTATTCTGAAAACAAAATGTGTATATTGTTTAGATTGAACCAAAACTGCACCCACCTCGCCTCACGGTGGGATGAGACAAGGCAGAAGAATAATGTTATTACCGCAGAAATCGATTTGTGTTGATTTTTTGACAATATTAATAAAACCACTAATGGTTTTGCTGACAGTTTTGGATTGAAATGTGTACTTTCCTCGTAGAACAGCTCTTTTGTGGCACGAGATCTCGTGCCCATCCCTAGTAGCTTATTAGAAATCAATGAAAACGCATATTTGATGCACATGTGCTGAATAAATCATGATTTATTATTATTAATGAGTGCGCTAACTTTGTGCCCTTGTAATGGAGATGATAATGACATCACTAAATCTATATGGAAACTTTCTGCTTCATTCTGAGCAGGATGTGAAGCAAATTAGAATTGAAGCTGGAAAACCTAATTTTCAAACCACAAAAACCGTCTACTATGTACTAGCTTATGTCACGATAGTTCCTGGCTTTAAACCAGTCGGGTTCTATCACTATAGTTTACACATATATTTTTTGCCTCATCTTTAGATCTGATTTTTCAGACAGAAAAGTGAAAAAGACTTGACCACCCTCACCCAGCCAATCAGCTCTCAGCCCAAAGCGTCAAATAGTAACTGACTCTTTCTTACAAATATGCAAAACAATAACATGTTTTTAAATGAGAACATTAAACCCTAACCCTAAGACAGCATGTTGTGTGGTCTGAATGGTTCACTTTGAATGTGGAGAACATACAAAACTCCACTCAGTAAGGCCCTGTTCCGACTGGGATTCAAACCCAGGACCTTCTTGCAGAGAAGCGGGAGTACTATCCACTCAGATCATTCAATAGTATTTTCACAGTGCTAAAAAGGCTTTAGAAACAGGAAATATGACTGTGTCTCTCCTCCAACATGCAACAAGTTACTCGTGATTATTGTGTCTACTTTTCCGGCCCATTACCTTCCATTGTCAGCTTGGCGTATGGCTCGTACGCAGTGTGACACATACTCCAAATCTTAATAGATGCAAAATGTGCCACTTATGTGACTGTGGGTAAATTATGACAAGAACAAAAGGTTAAATGTGAGAAATTATGCGAACAAATAAATTATGATGCACAGAAGATTACAGAAATCAGGAAACGAAAGGGCACCGTCTGAAACCGTTCATTTGGAAACGCATCTTTGTTCAGCTACAACATTGGTGTAAAGTTTGTGTTGTTTTTTGTCAATGATTCAAGGCCAAATGAGCAGTATGCACCTAGCTGTAGTAAGAGAGAAGAAAGAGTCACTAGGAACGCACACAGATGTAATGTAATATGCATGGAAAGTTTATTCGTATAGCACACTTTATACCCTAAGGCAGGGACGTCAAACTTATTTTGGATGAGGGCCGAATTAAAATGAAAGGGCCGGTCAGGGGCCGAAAGAATAAGTGGGTTTCATTTATTTTACTTTTTACACCATGAAGGTATCCATATACATGACTTCACATTAGGTGGATATTTTCTGATTAGAATTAGTTCAGTTCTTGTGGACTGAACTAAAACTGGACCAAAACTGGACCAGAAATTGAAGGTATATAGGAAGATTTTCTACTTTCCGGTGGATCATCAAGACTATTGGTTCTTCCCAATTGTCAATAATTCTGGTGATTTGTGCTCACCAGAAAGAATAAAATTGGGAAATCCTCCTTTATATCTTTAAGAAGAAATGTAATTGAAGACTCGTAAAAAACATAGCAATACTAACCTCTAAATACATGTTGGCTGAACATTTCTTATGGAACTAAATTTTATGGTTGTTTTCTTGAAAAAAATAGTAATTGTTAACATGCCCTTGTCGCCATCAATGCTGCTATTTAATATAATAATTTAAAATCATCTCAGGGGCCACTGGGAATGGTCTCGCAGGCCGGATCTGGCCCCCGGGCCTTGAATTTGACACCTATGCCCTAAGGCCACTCAAAGTTCTCAACAAAACAAGATTGAAAATCACAGTGCAAATGCAAAGATAACTGTGGTCAGATTTGCTCACAACATTTTGCTTTTCTAAGGCTCTTTATGTTGGGACAAACAAATCGCATTATTCATAAAAATAAATTTGAGATCCCTATTTATTTTCCATGCATATTGTGATCTTGCTTTAGGAACACAGTTTATATGTTTGGGGTTTTTTTCAACTAAAGTGCAGAGTCTGTGTTTACACCGAGGGACATCATCCAATAGACGTCACTCTTTTGCAGATTCTGTTGTTGCGGCGACAAGGTTGTTAGATTGTCCTCCTGGGTCCGATTATGCAGGCCAACAATCCTTCACAGATGGACCTTGGCCTTTCTCCGTGGGTTTTTTAAGTAAGAAAATATATACGACTTAATCCCAGAAGCAGCATAGTGGTTCTGAAAACACACAAATGAACACCAAGCATTTCAATTTGGAGAGACGAGAAAACAGGAAGTTTTGAGTATTTTATTGGGAGGAGGTTTGGCGCCCTAGGCCCCGGTGCGGCCTTCAGATCGGAAAGGCTCCTGCGATGGAGCGCGCACAATCCCCCGGGACCTAGGCACTGGTGGCGGCATTTGGCAGCAGGAAGCAGATTGGAGGCAGATTGGAGGCAGGGTGAAGAGGAGGAGGAGGGGAGGCGGTGGTTGCGAGGCTTCAGGAGGCAGAGAGTGGTAGTTTTTCCGTTTTTATGCGGCTGGCGTAGTCGGTACAGATGATTGGAAGGGGGCGTCTGCTGAGCGATAGGCTGGGATGCGAGCCGGCCTGGAGGGGGTAAATTTGGTTAACGTCTACCAAATTGAACTTTCGCTGGCTGCATCACACCAGTCGCTCAACTTTACATAAATGGAACAAAATAGTATCCTTACAAAATGGTATCCTTACAAAATGGATGATGGTAAAAAAAGTTTGACGTATTGTTTTTCGGATTATGACCTTTTTAATGCAGTTTATCTTATTGGTTTCTTTCTCCCGCTGTTGTGATTATATTGTTTGGGCAGTACAAAATTAGATTGAATTTGAGTGATCTATTGTTGTCAAACCCGTCATTTGAAAAGTTGAATGAAATACACACGCTTTATGTCTGTGCAATAATTTCCCTTGAAGTCTTGTACAAACATGTTATTACTCTTTCATATTTCAACAACATTTCAACGGGTTTGTTTAAACACAGACTAAAACACGTTTTGTTCCACAGTGGAGCTTTAATGGGCACTCTTTAGTCAGCCTATTAGTCTCTTTATACATTTGTCGATGGGGATACTCAAGGAATTTGTTGAACTATTAGATTAAGATTAGAAAATTAGACATAGACAAAGATAGTTTGCAATAATATGTATGGATATGACCTAGAACTGTTGTTGGGATGAAAGTACTTTATGTCCTGATATCAATGGTCCCTCTCTCTGTCTGTGGGCCCTCTTCCTGAGAACACCATGTAGCAGAGGGCCCCCGCTGAGGGCCAGGGCCTCGTTCTCTCTCCATCATGTGTCCTTTTGTGTCTGTAAGATTTATTTTCGGTGGTCTCTGAATGTATCTTGTGACTCCTCAGCGTCATTACGGTCTTCTTCTATATCTCTTCGGTTCGTGCCTTATGTATATTAAGACACAACAAGATTCTTGTTTTAACAACTGTATTAAAAAAGTAAATTCCTGCATGTTGTGCTATATATCAAATACGTTTATTGATCAATTTCTAAAACTGCTAACACTGCCGTTATGGTTTGGCCTCATGGGAGGCGTCTAACGGATGACGTGCACCTGAAAACATGCTTTCATATGCGTTTGACATTTGTTAGATTTAGCCACGATGGAGAACCCCACGGTCCCCGAGAGGTCCACAGCCTGTGCGTCCACAGCGTCCACAGTAGCTCCACCAGTTTGGTGCTAACTCTCTTTGTAAACAGCCTGAATTGTGCCCATGACATTCTGCTGTGTTTGTGCAGGGTGCATCACCGATTGGGACGGGATAAACTGCTGGCTCAGAGCTGAAATCGGACAAGTGGTCAACATCTCCTGCGGGGAAGTCTTCCAGCCTTTCACCAGCTACCAGGGTAGGTCTACTCTCTATGCAACAACCAAGCTTCTGTCATTCACATATTACTAAGTGATTAATCCATCAATCAATGAAATGTTATTTTTAAAGATCTTTTCATACAAATAAATAAAACAAACCCGCATTCCCATAACCTTTCAAACCACATCTATTATATAAAAATACACACACATACATTCACACTCAAAAGTTGTGTCCTGAGCCTGCTGTCAAAAACACAAAGTTAGTGTGTTTTTAATGGTCAATTATCATAGTTCAAAGTGTCATTTCTGGAATTAATTTTCTAAAATGTGTAGCAAGTTTTATTTTGAGGCCATTAGAGTTGGTATTATGTTTATCAGACAGAATACATGAATGCAAAATGTATGGTTGGCAAAAATAAGATTGGCCCATATGTGATAAAAGCCATGGAGGTGCGAGCGCTTTGAAATCCTCATCCCTTCCATGACATTTCATTTCACAGTCCTCTTTTTGCTGCCAGTCAGGTGACCAAAATATGGCAACAGCTCAGTTACTCACCAATTTACCTTTAGTAGATTGTAAGATGTCAAGGTCATATCTGAGAGAAGAGTCCAACACAATTTTAGAAATGTAGAAAAGGTTTAAAGAGAGAACAACTTGTATCTTTTGGGACTTCATTCCTTTATTGATTATTGATTCTTCACTGATTATTTATAATCAAGAAAATAAAATGAATATTAGTTTGTCCACTCTAAAAAACGATTACATTTCAAGTTTTCTGGTGGTCTTAACCTAGCGTTATTGGTAGTTATGTGTCCAACCAATTGTTTGGTATAAACGATTTTGGTCAGAGCGGCCACCAATGCAAACAGATGATTGTGATCAGAATGGCGGACAACAAAACTGTCACTAGACAATGCGGAACAAGTGTCTTGCCTAAGGACACTTCAGCAGTGTGGCACCTTAGAGCTGTAGCCTCCCACCGTGGAACCTGGTGTCCCCCGAGTTCTCCCATCATCGTACCGATCAGGCCCTGCTCTGCTTAGCTTCATAGACAGGGTCAGGCTTTCACATGCAGGTGGTGCCACATTAGATCTTATGTAACTTAATATGCCAACACATTTTAACAACATAGATTAAACAAGATATATTGTTTGTGAGATAAAAGTGTGAGGATTTCTTTTAATTATTGTATGGTTACTTTATTGTGTTCTATTGTGTTGTGTTTTTATTTTATTGTATAGTATCATTTTTTATTTTTTATTTTTTTTCATGTAACCAGGGACTGCAGATTGAAATGACCTGTGTAGCTATAATCTGGTGCAGAACATACCTGTATCTGTCTTTGAGCTTAATGTTACTGTGCACTGTCCCTTTCAAATACCGACTGAACTGAAACCACCATCAGCTTAAGCAATTAGATGGTAGTTTTTCCACCCAATTATGACAGTACATCCACAACGCACAAAAGCTCACAGCCACATTTCCTGTTTGAACAACCAAACTTCCACTCAGAAATGTTCCAGAGAAGAATTATAAAATGTCTTTGTGCAGGAATATGCTCTACTTCAATTGTTCCCCTCAAATTCTTCATTCTACAAAGGAGACCTGTTGCTTCGTCATTTCTGTATTCATCCTCAGGGAAACAAGGAATTTCCATTTGAACTTCTTAATCAGAGGGAGCATCAAACATGCAGAGAACTGTTCGAGCCATTTTTAGTGCTCTCTAAATAGGGTTATCTTTCCGGGATAATCCGCCATGCTAATACGGAGTCATTTTGATGAAGCAGGTCACCATGCATTATTCATTATTTGTGTTGGTTGGCAGCTCCATAAGCTCAGGGAGATCTCTTTGGCACAAGAAGTGACGACTAATCTTATGAGGGGTCCATACGTCACGGCTCAACATTTTCTAGATCTGCTGCAGTAAAGAACCAAAACAAAATAAAAATCCAACAACAAGAACGATCCATGAAGAGAGTAATTTCATGGAGGTCGTTCCCAATGTGGAGCATGCTTTGAATTCACGAGTTTAATGTTTTATTCAGCCGCCGTGGATATGACGCGCAGTAGAATGTTTAAAGTGGCACAGAGAAATATAAAAAAACAACACGTTACTGTTTTTTGTGCTGCAAGTACTCCATTTTTATGCTATTCAAAGCTGCAGTATTTTTTTTTTACACATTACCAATACAATTTTATGATTTCAAATTCTAAAAAACAAGCAATATCACTTTGTGTGCATGACTTTACAGCTGGTGAGTTATTTTAGCTTGTTTATAATAAAGTCTAAGCTACAAGTGCTAATGCCCGACAAGAAAAAGCCCTAAGGAAGATATACAGAAATCTGTCTAACAAATCCATTTCATTTAAGAAAAAATAAGAACTTTATTGATCTCACAGTGGAGACTTTCTGTTATGTCTTTTCAATTGTGGACCCCAAAGCAGAGTTGAAACAGGCTGACGAAGAACAAAAATTTATTTACAGTCCAAAACAAAAGTAGAAAGAACAAACTGTAGGCAGGCTGAGGTGACAGAGGCGCTGGCTGGAGACTTGGAGGTGCAGCAACCAAGGATCTGGGAAAAAAATGGTATGAGTAAAAAAGCGAAATAATCACAGGAACAGGCGCACGAGGACACTACCGTGTGTGACGGAATTATCTGGCACTGAAGAGCAGTCCAAACTGGGCTTAAGAAGCCAGGTGTAAATTGGCTGCAGGTGTGTCTGCTGCACCGTCCAGCCACACCCCCATCACCACAAGCTCTGCAGAAAAACAAAAAGGGAGGGGGGAAGAAACAGAGCAACACAACCCTCACACTTTCTCAGTTCAGATGATTGTTTTTATTGTTGTTTATTTGAGCACAGAGCAATCCAATAAAAAATAAATAAATGTTTACTACAGAGAGCTCAAAAGGAGTTGTCAGAAGTATTGTAAAGCGCTTTGTGACTCTGGTCCGTGAAAGGTGCTACTGTATAAAAAAAGATTACTTACTTACTTAGGAGAAGCCTACCCCTCCATTGAATCCACGTGTTTTTAGAAATACTTGAAAAAAGGTGTGTGTACCTAAAATAAATGTTACATTGATCAAAAAGAGACACCACATGACTTGAAAGAGGTCTGAGGATTACATTTTCTTCTAGTCTATCATGCTTGCAAATGTCAAAATTGACCAAAAGCGTAAAGCAAATGAAAAAAACCACAGGATTGAGCCTCCAGTCCCAACACCAACTCGGAAACACACACAGAGAGTGTTACGTAGATATTCAAATTGCAGCATGTACACAATGGCACAACATCAGATAATTGTATGTGTTAATGTTACACCAGGGCTTTGAAATCTAAAGAGGTTATTTTTGGACGTGGTAAAAAGAGGCCATAGCCAGAGCGGATACAGAGGATGTACAGAGTTATAGGAGATGATTAGCGGTGCAGCACCCGCAGGGACTGGCCCAAAGGATAACGCAAGACCTTCAGATGTGACTCAGAATAATTTGCTTTTTAACACTATTAATACCCTGCAAGCGGCAATATGTTCAAGAAAGCAATCATTACTCCTTGTTGCATAATGTGTCCCAGTCCACAGCCCTCTGCAGCCTGTCCCCTCACTAGCACCAGGTCTGAAGACGCTTAGGGCACGGTCACATAGGTTTTTACAAACAAACTAGGCCAAGTGCCCCGGATCGTTGCCACAGGGTTGTGAAGACGGCCTGTGGCCATAAGGGTTTATTTTTTGAACCGTGCCAGGCCGAAAGCGGTGTAGTAGTACACTTGGTCCAGCTGGTGGCGCTAATACTAACTTCAGCGACTACCTCGCGGTCCGAGTGAAGTTTGCGTTTCTCTTCCTGTTTACACTCTGCTGAGGCCAACAGCTCGAGCATGGATCGAGTTGTTTTGTAATCTTGAAAATATTTTCAAGTGTAAGTTATGTAGTGTCAGATTACTTGTGAATCAATATACAATTTTGATAATACCCATGTTTTGTCTCCAGATTGAATTGGGCAGCAGCTAATTTTTTCCCACCAGGGTTTTTGGTGAGTCCTTCCTTGCCAACATTGAAGGGTCTAACGACAGAGATGATCTGAGACATTTATGGACTTTTAAGGATATTACATTCAATTCAACTCAAAACACTTTATTTATCCCCAAGGGGCAATTAAAAAGCACTGAGAGTAGCAGAGTTACAGAATAAATAAATAAAAAAATACTAAAAGGCATATTAGAGGCGAGGCAGCCTTTAGAGCAGGGGTGTCAAACTCATTTTAGTCCGGGGGCCGAATACTACCTAATTGGATCTCAAATGGGCTGGACCAGAAGATGCTCTACAAAAATACCCAAAAACCGTACAAAGTCTAACTTTTTGTGCACATAAACTAATTTATTTAAAACACCGTCCTTTAATACTCACTCAGTTTTAACTGTAAATCTGTTACAAACTTTAATGAAACAGTGAGTTTTTCATAGTGCAAATAATGTATTTATAATATTACATTGTAAATGACATTTCACAATATTCATATTAATATTTGTATGTTATCTTTGTTTTGAGGCTCATTACAGAGAAAGTTTGCTCACAAAGGTAAAGTAGGTAGTTAGAAAAAAGCACTTTAACACAGCACCTCTTAACCATCTTCAGTGTGGTAAGGTCCATGGTTATGTTATCATCAGAGAGAAAGCATCAAACTGACCATGATTCAGTTGAAGTGAACAAAACAATTTCCAGAACGACTGCAGCAGTGTCTCTGTTTAAAATACAGTCAAATGTCCAAAACTCATCACCTCCATTTGCAGCTTTGTCACTACACCTGCTTTTACCGTCGGTACCAGGCTGAGAGCGCATGACCAGTCTACACTGTCCAACACACCAGCAACAACAGCAGCATCAGCAGCAGCACCAGCAGAACCAGCAGCAGCACCAGCAGCAGCAGCAGCAGCAGCAGCGCTCAAAACTCCTCTGATAGTTTCAGTAACACCACAAATGAATATGTGACATCAGTAACATCAGTCTCTCATCAATGGCAACATGTTGGTAAAAGCGAGTGGTTTCTCAGACCATGTCTGCAGCCTGTATGAGAGATTTATCAAACTGTGCGGCTGCGATGCTAATGCTATGGTTTTAGCACAGGTAACTTCCCTTTACAGCAGCGCTAACCTCCCGCTCTGGGCTCAAACAGACTGCCGTGTCTTCAGGACAAGACATGTTTATCTTCTCAATTATCAATTCTCCGATCAAAGTGCCGTATTTTTTGCAGAGTCTCGTAGTTTAAGATGATATTCCTTCAGCACCGCTCTGGTGGAGCCACTACATACGCACTGGACCCGCTGCTGAGCGCGGCGCTGCGGCCTCGCGTCGCGTCGCATTTTCAAACACAACTTTTTAAAATTATTATTATTATCATTTTACATAAATGAGCCGCGGGCCGTGTCAAATCTCTTGGCGGGCCGTATGAATGACACCCCTGCTTTAGAGTGTAGAGGAGCAGTGCTGGGTGAGGGGAGGGGTCTTCGTTCAGGAGCTGGATGACTGAGGGGACAAAAGTCACCTTCCTCCTCTGTGTCCTGCACAGCGTCTGAGTCCTGATGGCAGCCACTTAAAATGGGGTACAGGACGTGTGAGAGGTCGTCAAGGTCCTGAAGGCCACTCGTATGGCCTGTTGGTCACACACAGCAGGGAGAGCACACATTTGTGATCCTGGTTAGCTGTGTTTGATTTTGAGGAACCAGAAGATACATGAAAAGGACAGAATACTTTCAATAAATACATGATAGAAGGTCATCATTATGCTTTTGCTGACACCAAATGACCTGAGTTTCCTCCGGACATTCTGCCTCTGATGGTATTTCTTCAGTAGTGTTTGAGGAGAGTTTCAGCAGGTGGACAAAGATGGTTCCAAGATATGGATATGGATATTTTACGGACATTGCTCATACTGCTCCCTATGGACTAATGGCTCCTATGTGTTTGTTATTATTTCCAGTGCTCATATTGTTTGATTCTCTGATCTGTTGTTGGTGAATGGACAACTTTGTGAAGTCCTCCAAGACCACTGTTGTTGTGATTTTCTAAACATCTTAAAGTTTTGCCTGTGAAATGCACTGTTTTGTACTTACTTACTACAGTTTCACACACTTTAGTGTATTCAGTGCTTAATCCAGGAAAATATATTGTAATCAATGTCTTTTTTGTAAAAGATTATTTTAAGGGACTCGATTCACCGCAGCTCTACAACTCCAGAGTTCATATGCGCAGGAGAAAAGGAGCTAGGGAGCCCAGAACTTTCTTGTGTTCAGCCCTCGTCACACTTCAGCAGTTGAGAAGGGAGTCTTTGCCAAAACTCTGAGGCCATGCAAGTGGCTTACTTTCACCTATAGAAAAATCACGCAATTCTTATTTTAAAATGTGGTCTAGTAATAACCGCTTCTCTTATTACCCAGAGATTTCAACAAGTTTTCCTGCTCTTCTTGAAATTCAGAATATTCTTTAAGCGTTGATCAATTTAAACCCAGTTTTGTGGTGGCAGACCGAGCCTTTAACATCAGCTGCCTCCAATACTCACATGAATCCTATATTAAAGTTGCTGATGGATAGTGCACAATGTACACGCCTCTCCGTGGCTCAATGGACACAAAGCAACAATAAACATGTCAAGAAGAGAGTTTCCATCATCTGAATGCACAGATGCATGAGAAACTCACATGGATCCAGCACAAACATGTTAAAAGCGATAATGCTGCAAATACATGAGAAGATGGGGACATAGAGGGACATGAACAAGATGGATGGTCTCTCAGTGGAGAAGCAGAGCAAGCACTCGTACGGGACGCTCCAGGCTAAAACAAATGGCAGCGCTTATTTTTAACAGGACGTGTGACAAAGCGTTCAAATGGCTCAGGCAACTGGATAAGCCATGAGCTCCCTGGACCATGAATATATTTCATGCGTAAAATACAATAAATGATTGATGCAACATATTTCAGTGATTTTCATACAGTGGAAAGCGGAAGTTTATATTTTAAAAAGACATCCTCACTGTCTGACATTAAACTTTAAATATTGAGAGCCGTAATTCTTCTGAATTCCTGAAGTTATTTATACTACTGTCTACAAAGTCCGAAGTTTAACGTCTCACAGTCAAACGTCACTTAAACCGTCTTTTTTACACTATCCAGTGTCCACTTTATTTAGTGTCATTGCCGTTCCATTTAAATGTTTGCAACAATCCATTTAAAAGACAATATTTGGAAGATCCCTCTCTCACCGTTAGTAACACGTAGCTACATTCTATCATTATGGTTTTGTTTTCATACATAAAAACACATTATATATTGATGACATTATTGTTGTGTTTCAGGTTGGATTTACAGAAACTGCACATCAGAGGGCTGGTCTGTGCCGTACCCTCCGTATGAAGACGCCTGTGAGTTCAGTGAGGACCCTGAGCCTGAGTCAGAAGTAAGACCCCTTCTTCAATCTTTGTACTTATATTTATGAATGTTTCTATCTATATATCTATTTATGTATTTATGTATATATCTATGTATGTATGTATCCATGTATGTTTCTATCTATCTATATGTGTATTCAATGTATCTTTCTATATTTTTAAGGTTTGAGGCTGTTACCATACATTTGTGGCTTTATTATTTTGTGAGTGTGGTTTTGGAAAGGAAACTCCGCAAAGAATCACATAATTACTTTAAAAAAAAATAGACAATACTTTTAAAAGATATTATCCATGAAGAGTGGGCAAGACTGCGATGCATTTTTAACAAAACAAAGCTCAGAAACAACTGCACCATGGCAGTAGCAGTGCAGTAGAAGTGGGTTGGTGACTTTTACTTGTTACAGTAATCTCTCTGCTGTGGTGTAGATGAAAATATGTGGCCAGACAGACAGGAAGGCATGGATGTCCAGGAATAATTTATCTACAGTTTTGCAGTAATGTGTATATATGGAGTGACAGTGGCTCAGTTGTTAGAACTTTGGCCTTTGGGCCTGAAGGTTGTGAGTTCGAGCCTACCACAAGACCTTCAGTACTTCAAGGTTCCCACTGATATCTGCTGTCATTGTGTCATTGTGTCCTTCCCGCTGAAAGATCAAGGCTGTGTTGTCAATAGCAGCCATCCCATGCAGGAGGATCAGTGAGGGGCTGGTGCTATGTGAATCGGGTGCAGCTCTGACTGCCACCCCCCCGACCCAGAAATGGATTAAGGGGAAGAAATTGGATGGATGGATGTTATATTGTTTACATGTATGCACAGTTCTACCATAATGCTATTTCTTATGTTTGTTCTTAAGAAGTGACTGTGTTTTGTTTATTCATCGAACTGAATTTCTCCATCTGTGTGAGATAATAAAGGATTGATTGATTGATTGATTTATTTTTTATTTTTGCACAATTCTGTAGAATTGCAGTAAAGATGTGAAATACATACATATTAGTCTTGTACTCGGTTACCTCACTAAATACACTCATGTGTAACTTTACTGTAGTTTTCGGCTGTACATGTACAGTATAGTGCTTGTAGTGCTCACCAAGTGTCACCAAGATCTGACTTTTTTGCTTCAGAAAATAGGATCAAGATAATTTCATAAACATAATAAATAGATGTAAACTACTCAATTTGACTGGTCAGGAAGTTTTAGTGTAGGTTGTGTGATGTTTTATGGCTTTTAACACAACACTGAATACAGCCTGTCTGCCGCAAGTCACAAGAGATGCCATCTTTGTCTCATAACATGGCGTGGAAATTTTACACTGCTTCTATAATTGAATTTAAGTTTAGTATAGAGTTATTGTGAATTTATCTTGTGCTGTGTTCACCTCATTCCTACTGTTCTGTAACTTTTGATGCAACACTGACATTTCCCCACTGTGAGACGAATGCAGGATATCTTAATCTGAATCGTAACTATAGCTTCAAACCCACTGTTGAAGAGAATTGCAGGAAGTCCCTGTGAGGTGATCTTATTTCAGTGTTTGTGTAAAACAGCTTTTTTCACACTGTTCTGTTGTTGTGCACGTGTCGTTTCAGACCAGTTACCTGTCCACATTCAGGCAAGTTTACACAGTGGGCTACGCCACCTCCCTCGTCTCTCTCATCACAGCCATTGTGGTCTTCTCCGCCTTCAGGTGAGACTGCAGCTATTTAGCGAGAGCAAGAACTAATATCACACTCTGCCATGAGCAAATATGTTGAAGTGGTGGGGAAATAATCAATTCTCTTCAGTATCTGTAAATCATACATTCGAGCAAAGTATTGTGATATTTAAGTCAATAATTATCCGTTTTCATTTTGTGTTTTCTAACGAATGTACATTTGCTGAGGTTTATGTTACTCTTTTACTCTAGTGCAGCCATTCCCAAACTCAGTAACACCGAGGCCCCCTTAAAAATCTGACGGGTCTGCGTGGCCCCCCAAAATAATAACCAAGAAGACAACATTAAGAATAGGCTCTTCTGGTTATTTTATTTTGGGGAAATAGCCTCTGCTACAAACATTGTAATACAAAAATGATTACAGTGGATTATTCAAGTCAAATAATGAATACAAATATTTTAATATTACAAGCAAAACATTATAAATTTAACATTAAATAATTATATTATTTTTTTATTTTTTTTATGACCTCCCGCGGCCCCCCTGCAGTACCCTCGCGGCCCACCAGGGGGCCGCGGACCCCACTTTGGGAGACACTGCTCTAGTGTATTGTATTTTAATAATTATTTGATAAATTACAAAAGATGCGGAGGTCTGGGATCATGTCTCAGAAAAATACATTTTATTGTTGGTAAAAAGACAGTTTTGCAGTGTGAAAGTTACTTTATTTTAAACAAGATGAATCTAGGTCCAGGGGAGACAGTAGCTCAGTTGGTAGAGCATCGGCCTTTAGGCCTGAAGGTTGTGGGTTCAATCCTACCTCGTCACCAACTCCCACTGATGACTGCTGTCGTTGTGTCCTTGGGCAAGACACTTAACCCCACTTTGCCTGAAGCTCCCGCTGAAAGATCAAGGCTATGCTCACACTGACAGAGTAGCCATCCTCCTCTGGACTCACCACCTGCAGAGGATCAGTGAGGGGCTGGTGCTATGTGACTTGGGTGGCATCTCTGACTGTCACCCCCTGACGCAGAAATGGATTAAAGGGAAGAAAATGGATGGATGGAATCTAGGTCCTTCTCTGAGTATCTCCGACGACGCCAATAGATATGTTAGCTTTGACCTTAGATAACCAAAACATCACTGACTCAAAAGTGTCATAAAAGATCCATAGTTACTTAAAAACTATTGTTGGGACAAACAAAATCTGTTTTAGTTTCTCTTTCATGAGGTTGGTGCAGCCAAACTGAAAGCCTTGTAAAGAGTTGTAACCATAGATTGTCTAATGGGATGACAGTGTGAACCTGGAAGCTTACAGAATCCAGGAGCCGGTTCACGGGGGGCGACAACCGACAGCGATAAGCAGCACTCGTCGCACCGGGATGAAAACCAGAGACACAGAGAGGGCAACTGCAGCGGAGGGCGACAGATGTGCTGTGCTCCGGCAGATTGCGGGTCTTCCACAAATGTGAACTGGAAGAGATTATGAGGCTTTTGTTTCCTGAACTGAAAACTCACAAATATGAAGTTATGCATATTTTTTTTTATTATTTATTCCTCTAAACCAGGGGTGGGCCGGATCAATTGTCACCTGGTTAATTTCACTTCACAAAAATTGTTCTGTTTTTTGCAAAAGCCGCTTTACAGTTATTATTTATTTGAAGAACAAAACATATTTAAAAGAGAGAAGGAGAATTTTGTCATACGAGTTATTATTGAACGTTGTAAACAGCGAGCAATTATAAATAATGAATATTTAAGCAGACTGAAATCTGTTAATCCGTGTATTGGATACTGATTCATTCATAATCTGTGGTAGACATAGAGAGTGTCAGAAATTCTGCAGTCTGTCATTAGTTGAAACACATAAGTGCAGAATCTAGCGACAGTGACAACATTTCAAATGTTTAATTTTCTTGGATATTGTGGCTATATTTTCATGTGCACACTTATACATATTCACAGATATGTATATTCCTGAGCACCTACATCCAGATTATTCTATTCTCACAAGTGTTATCTTATTATTATTATTTTCAGATTTTTTTATTGTGAAATACTTTGCAAGCTACTGTGACAATGCAATTTCCCTTGTGGATCAATAAAGTCTGCCTAAGTCTAAGTCTATTGGAAATGAATGAGAAGTAGCTAAATCAAATTCCGTCTGACGGCCATTTATCTAAGAAACGTCAAACACTGTGGTGACGTCACACTCAGGTTACTCCTCTCCTATTGTACTTTCTACGACCCTGGGCACGAACAATCAGTCAGTCACCGACCAAGGGAGCAGTCAGAAGAGGAGCAGAGAGAAGATGCAGTTCAGCAGATGATACAGGCTGCTGGTCAGTCTGGAGCTCCTGGTCTATAGGGAGCTGGACCATATCTCTGAGCTCAGCTGGTGGCGAAGTGGTTGGCCATAAGGAGGCATGCTGACATATTTGCATTCTGGCAAACGTGAATTATGCTGTGAAACCTTATGGCGACTTTCCACGAGTAAAAAAAATAGGTCTTTACAGTCCGGCTCAAACACTGCTCTTGGTTCACCGCTTACAGAGAGCAGCTAACCTTTGTTTAGATACTGTGGCTTTTTAAAGTTTGTCCAACCAGCCGCTATTTTACCACAGATCAGGCAGTAAAATATGGCCTGTAATCACTGCAAGATTTGTGCTTCTTGCCGCATGAGTGAGAGTCAATTTGAATGCAGAGAAAATGCTTTATCCATCTGTTATGCATTCTACAGAACAGGTGATGAGTTGGATAGTAGCGCTCTCCTCTGCTGTAGCAAGAGAAACCCAAAAGCCAAAATACAGCTGATGACACAGTGGTTCACCATTCGTTTTCTTAATTAATGGCTTAATTTTTATCCCCCAAATACTATTTTTTGTTCAAGATATAATTTTCTATCCCATCTTTTGCATGCACAGACTTGTAGGGGGACTAATGGGATGGCATTAGCTTTGTTTAAACAAATGAGTGTCAGCTCAAACCAGTAGAATACTAAACACTTCCCTGATTAATTCATGTCTTCAGACCGAGATTACAAGTTGGTTTTTACTCCTGTGTGTATCGAAACCTGAGGGACAAGATTAGTATTGCTATAAAAAATAACCGCGGCTAAATGGTGATAATTCTATAATAACTCTCAGGATTAGAAATGGGTCAAAGACTGAACTGTTCATTTGGATTTTTCTAAATGTTAATTGTGAGAGGGGAACACTTCAGGACTGTCTGTATGGGTTGCTTTTTTCACCCTTTACTTCCCTTAGTCAAATGATTATTGACCTGGTATATTGTTATATCATTCTTTATATTACTTTTCTGGTCACAGACTAAAGGCAGCTGCTGCTCATCAATCATGTACTCAGGTTTGTCTTGTTTGTCCTAATTGGAAATATTTTACTATCATTGTATTTACTGAAGTCTGAACCTAGACTAAGCTGGAACTCTATCCTCGCCTAGTATTAATTACATCAAAGCTTCCAGCTCCAGATGGCTTCATGGATTAATAATTTGCTAAACCTTTTACCAGCGGTGATAACATTTCCCGTCTGTAAGCCATCCACTGACTTATGGTTTAATTTGTGTTCGTTGAAGAATCACAACATGCACGGATCATTTTAGTGGTGAAAAGTAAGACCAATCATGAAATCAGCTGTCTGGACTTTGGCCCTTTCAGATTTATGTAATTAGACAAAGCCCCAATTTGGTCTTTTTGGAATGGATCCTCATTAGTCGCCCCCAAAGTGAAAACTATCAGGGTACATAAGCTATAATAAACTAATATTTCAGGCCCTTTTTATTTTATATATACATTTTTAAAAAATCTCCTTTTGAGAAGTAGCTTTGATATTGGTTGGAAAGGTACAACACATACAAACTCTTAGCACTTGAGCCTCACACAAGACGGTCCTGTTTTTGATTCCACCTCCAGACTTTTCTGTGTGGGGTTTGCATGTTTTTCCTTACTGTCTATGGTTTTACCCATGTCACTGTAGGTTTCCTCCAGGTGCTCCGGTTTCTCCTACCACTTCAAACATAAAGGTATCAATGTAATGAGTGAGTGTCATGGATTGAAGCAGATGGTGAAGTGAATGGAAATGAAAGAGCTTTAAAGTACTTTCACAAAGAGCTTTACAGTGGTTTTTGTAACTGTCTCTGTGAAAAATGAATGATACATAAGTGACTTTACTAAACTAAGCCTAACCAAATTGAAAACTGCCAATACAAATAGTAAGTAGGCTACTTAAGTTTAATTATGGGGTTTGGTTCTGAATATTCTGTAAAATCCTCTCGAAACCATACAGTATACTCAAATGGATCACAAAGCAATAGCAGAAGATGCATGCACTACGATTAAAAAGACCACAGCTAAAGGAAAGATACATTTTTAAGAACAATTTATTTAGGTCAATACAGAATGGGTCTAGAATGTGACAGTCATTATATATTGTTAAAGATGACCCACATTAAAAGACTGTGGCACAATATCCATCTCCATCTTGAGAGGTGATTACTGCCAGTAAACGCATGACGTCGGGGCTAATTGGAACCGAAACCCACTCGTATTTAAGCTCTGATGGTCTGTGATCTACTTTACACAAGCCTGGTACAATTAAAGCAGACTAATGCCTTTTCAAAGCAGAAGCGAACATGGGAGCGGGTAGGCTGGTTTTAGACTCATCAACGGTTGAGGTTTGGATTCAATTCAATTCAATTTACTTTATGGAACGCCTAAAATCATAGCAGCTGTTCAGTTTACCAACAGCAGATAAAAGCAAAAGTAAATGCAATAATTCATCACATTTTAAGTCATGGGTTAACCAGTGTCTACACATGTCCTGGATTGTCACAGCCCTTAGACTATAGACATGTCCAAACTGCGGCATATTGTGTGTCCCTCTGTCTCGCTAACACAAAGAAGACATTGAGATCATAAAGACTAATTCATAGTGTCATCCAGCCAACTTCATCTGTGCCCATATAGACAAGCTACACATTGTTGTCGAACTCAGAAACTCTTAAATCCAACTTTACTTGTAAATATTTCCTACTTTGTTTTTGATTGTGTCACAGCGTTTGATACATATAATGCCGAGCTTAAATCGGACTAGCAACTGATTATATCCGTCGCATATGAGTTGCTGCCCCGCACACATCGACAAATAAACTTTAGAGGGCACACATATACACGCAATACACACATGTTGTTGGAGCGCCCACATCGGGTCATATCTCCAGATCTGAGGACAACTAGTTGCCGAAAAGTAGAACACGGGCAACTGACTGAATCCGGAGATTGACTGTTTATCTCCAGTTGTAAGAGCGCTCACACCGACCGATTTTGTCAACTGATCATCTCCCATCATCTACTCTCAGTTGCCAAAAGCCGCCTTGCAACTAGTTGTCTCTAGTTACTCTGTCGATGTGCGCTAGGCCTAAGGCTCAAATATGGCCGTGGTGAGATAGTAAAATAGCAAACTTCAGTTCTGGCAAATGTGAATCAATATGGAAACACCCCAGCCGCCAGAATCCAGTCAATCTCGGTTATGGTAGTATGGTGAACGAAAATGAGTCTAGTACTAAAAAGTTTGGACAAACCTGCCTTAGACCCTCCTGCATCGGGCCTTCCTAAGTTTGAGTCCAGTTTCATTCAAGTCTCAATCAGTGTCATCTTTCCGATGCTCTGGAATTATGACAATGTGTCTCATCAAATCACGAGGCAAGGCAACGCAATTGTATTTGTATGGCATAATTATTACAGAGAGCAACACAATGTGCTTCACAAAACACGGTAAATTATAAGTAATCTCACAACATACATTTGGATTTTCAATCTCATATAGTGACAGCAAGTATATTTCAAAATTAGTGTTGCAATTGATTAACAAATCTCTCATAACCCATACTAAACCGATAGCACAGTCTATACAGCTGACATCACACACTCAGCAGCCTGTGGAGGTAGTAAGTAAGTAGTAAGTAATCTTTATTTATATACCGCCTTTTCACTGCAGATCTGAGTCTCAAAGCAGTTTACAATTGTTAATTTTGGGCATTTGTCTCTCACTCCTCACAGAGATGGGAGCGGGGTCGCCAGTACAGGAAGTACATGCGAGAACTATTAGACATATTTTTAGTGGTAGGGGAAACTGGGGTACCCAGAGGAAACCTACGCAGACACGGGGAGAACATGCAAACTCCACTCAGAAAGGCCCTGGTCTGACCAGGATTCGAACCCAGGACCTTCTTGCTGAGAGGCGAGAGTGCTATCCACTCAGCCACCGTGCCGCCCAAACATGTGTTAAAGTGGAAGTGCAAAAAGGCACAAGGTCAAAATATTTATCAGGGAAGCAATTCAAATGTAAACAACCAGAAAAAAAGAAAAAAGTCAGCTCAAGCTTTAGATATAGGTAGCTGTGTAGACCTATGTAATATCTGTGTAGGTCTGCTCTGGGCGATCTATGTGCTATAT